CATTATAAGTAAAACTGCATAAAAGGTAACATACCTCCGATTTAATCGCTATTTAAATATGTTGTAGGGGAGTTTTTTTTTAAGTAATTCTCCGCAAGAAATAAATGGAGGACGGTATTGGTCTAGGAGATATAATAAATTGAAGTTTCACAATTTTAATGCTTTTTCTCAGATATTATAAAGTAATATTAGGAAAAATGAAATTTGTGTACATTGTATTTGTTATAGAGCAACCGAAAAAGTGTTTGTTTACATTTACGGGATAGGTATATGGTCATGGATATTTTGTCAATAATGTGTTTCATCTATCTCTCGCAGTTCGTTAACAGCTTTCAACATGCGACTACATGAATTTCTGAGTCGTGTCTTCAAAAATATTATTTAATGAATGCGTGAACGGGGGAGGGGCGCACCTCCATCCCGAAAAAATTCTTTTTTTCCCAACCCAACTTTACTTTTAAAACTGAAAATAGATTTGGGTTAGATTACATCTTCCGGAAGTGGAGCCCCTCCGTAGGAGGGGCAGAATCCACTGTGTCCACCCATATACTTTACAACGCGAAGCGAGGTCCACCCCACAATTGTTGTGTGGATGGGAAAGTGTATGCGTGGACGCAGTGGGTTTCGCCCCCCTACGGGGGGTTCCATTTCCGGAAGATATAACCTAACCTAAATCTATTTTTAATTTAAAACAAAAATTTATGCTTCTGCTTATACTTATATTAATGCTTTATTTTCCATACGATAGCTTTAACGAACTGCGAGAAATAGATGAAACACATTATTGACAAAGTATCCATGAGTGTATATCTATCCCGTGATTGTAAACAAACACTTTTTCCACGTCTGCTCTACACAAATACAACGTAAACAAACTTTATTTTATAATAAATTTTATTTTCTAAGAGAAAAAGCATTAAAACTATGAAACTTTAATTTGTTATATTTTTTAAACTAATGCCGTTCCCCATAAATTTCTTGCGGGGAATTACTCAGAAGAATCTCCCCTATAATTAAGTGGCAATAAAATCGGAGGTATGTTACCTTTTATGCAGTTTTACCACATTACGATAATTTAGAATGAATCACTATCGAGAAAATGAAAAAAAGAACAAGCAATATGTCTATATGAAAATTATATAAATGATAAATAATTTATAAATTACTTATCTTATTGTTTGCTCCGTACGTTGCTTGATGCTTTTCTAGATTTTCCTTTCTTTTCTTGTTCATCCTTTGCTGTTTTCTCGTAGCGACTAATATGATAAATCGTGTTTTCGCAAGTGAGGTCCATAAGAAAACAGTAAGGAACAGATAAACAAGATAGGAAAAGGAAGTCTGGAAAAGCATCGGGTAATGTACGGAGAGCGATGATACGCGGTAAATAATTTATAAATTTGTTAATCTGGATTTATTAAAATTGTTTATTAATTAATACATGGCGCGTGTGTAATACGCGTTTTGTAATATTCTATTAACCACAAAAAATAATTGTTATAAACAGTAAATGTGCAATTTCACATTCCTTAACAAAATAGCGGCTCAATTTTAAATTACGATTATAATCAGTTTGTTGCAATTGTAAATGCTTACTCATCGCACAATACATTATTCTGGAGACAATTTTTTAAGTAAATGTTCCTTTTCTGAAACATCATATTAAAATAGGAAACGATTAAGGAACAACTTTCTTGACTTATGAATGAAAAGTAATTAATAAGACTTTCTCGGTATAATTAGTGGGTTTTTTTTATACATAAATAGGTCATGTGTTCGGTGAAAAAAAATGCTGAGCCAAATTTTAATTCGTACATTTTTTCTTAAAAATTGATATTTATAGTATCTTTATTTTCAATTTTTCGGAATATTTTTTTTTTATTATTGTAATGCGAAGATTCAGCCTGTTGAGAATATAAATTTGAGCACGAAGAGTCGAAATTCGAATAATTACGTACAATTTGGCTGGCATGCGCCAAATTAAAATTCGGTCCATTAAATCGGATGTGCGCGTATCGGAGCATGATAGAATTACCAAACAGAGTGAATCGTCGGCGGTAATTTGATGCGTTTATCATCCACGTCACAAAGGGACGATGGCAATTTAATCACCCAATTAGAAAGAGCGTTTAGAACCACCCCCACCAAAAAAAAAAAAATTTCCTAAGGGGCGTCCCGTCGTGACGCGTGGACCATTCAACCCTCTTGGTCTTCTGCTAAAGCGCAGCAATGAAACCCTCGTAAAACAGACTACGGAAGCCATATTCGCGTTTCGTGTTTCATCAGTTGCAGTTTATCCTCTTTGTGAAAACCAGCTTGCCAGCAGTTTAAAAATTTAAGTACGGACTAGTCACGTAAAAACTATATGATAAAATAAAATTTTATGTCGCATATCTTTTCGTAGTTAGGAGAATTTTTTAATATTGCAAATATAGAGATACATTTTGTTACGCATTATCTATCCGCTATAAGGCGGTAATATGCGATTATATCTACCTGCGTTGCATAACATTTTGAATTGTTTTTTCTACAGGATAAAGATCGATGAAGATAGAGAATTAAATGATGACAATTATAACATTACTATACATTTAGTCTTGTGGTGAATATAGTTAGAATGTTATTATTACTATGTTAATTTATTTATTAAATCAAAATATGTATATCAAAACAGTTGCTAAAACAATTCGCTTTACAAGGAATTCCTTGAAACATTTTTGAAACGTATGCATATTGTCTCTCGTTTTTCACGAAATCTTATCATTTTTTTTATCTCTTTCCATGCATCATCGATTCTAAATGCGTTAACTCTTTATTTCGAAAAAAAAAAGAGAAAAAAGGGAGAAATCTCAAATCTCTCTTTAATTCTCTGTCCGCTGCTCCGTGCTCTCTTCGGGTTTTCTGGCCCCCGCTGTACTTATTATCTCCGCACGTGCAGTGCTGTGCATGTGCAACGAGCGATACCTACATGCCGGCTCTTCCTCTCCTTTCTCTCGCCCTCCCACTCGGTCTGGTTCGCCGAGCGTATTGATTGAGGTGAATGCACGACGCCGGCGTCGGCGTCGTCGTCGACGTCTCCTAGTCCGCGGATGCGCGGGAATGGAAATGCATACTGCCAGGATAGTCGGTCGTGGTGGCTATTCGCAACAGCTCTCATTCGAAAAGAAGAAAAAGAGAGAGAGAGAGAGAGAGAGAGTAACAAAGGGAGAAGAGAGCGGAGACGAAAGAGGGAGAGAAACAGGCACGAGGCACCGGTGGAGGAGGCATTATATACTCTTGCTGGATCTTCGTTCAACGTCAGTATCTTGCCCGAATTCGTGGCACTGACATCGCAAACGCTAAACACCGCAATACTCGCAGCTGCAGCCAAGAACGTGATTATCCGAGCCGTGGAAGATATAAGAATTTCGCAGAAAGAGAAATCCGTTCATTTAAATTCGCATTTTGCATTCGTGTTCTGCCTGCATTTTTCGAAAAAGGAGTGATTGCCATCAGGGAGGAGAGCCGATCGCTTCGAGGTTGCCAAGAGACACCTCTTTTTTTTCCTGACTGATTAAGATCCAGTCCCGGGGGATTATCATGGCCACTTACGCAACTTACAGGCATGTCGAGCTTGACAATGTTGGATATGGGAAGAAAAGGTAATGATGAGAATTGTGTATATATGTGTACGGGTATGCGTATGGGGAGAGAGAGAACGAGAGCATATTGCGCTGCGGACTTTTCAGAGGCGACACTTTCGTAACATTACGCATTAAACGTTTTTATTTTTTTTTAACATGGATGTTAAAATTTATCTTTGCGATTAATTTTTTTAAATCTATACCTATTATTCGTGAAAGAAAGAAATGTGAGAGGAATCAATCGATCGATAGTTTGCTGTAACTTTCGAATTAGAAAATACATATACCAACAAATAATCGATCACTAAAGTAAATTACGCTTGTTTTTGTCTGTATATTTGTGTAAAATATATCGTTATATTAAAAAATAATAATAATGACGAGGTGATACTAGTTTTTTAAATGGTCACTTAGTTTCTAATATTTAGCTATTAAAGAGTCTATTTAATACATATATGAAATCTGTCTAAGGGCGTCCCGTCGTGACGCGTGGACCATTCAACCCTCTTGGTCTTCTGCTAAAGCGCAGCAATGAAACCCTCGTAAAACAGACTACGGAAGCCATATTCGCGTTTCGTGTTTCATCAGTTGCAGTTTATCCTCTTTGTGAAAACCAGCTTGCCAGCAGTTTAAAAATTTAAGTACGGACTAGTCACGTAAAAACTATATGATAAAATAAAATTTTATGTCGCATATCTTTTCGTAGTTAGGAGAATTTTTTAATATTGCAAATATAGAGATACATTTTGTTACGCATTATCTATCCGCTATAAGGCGGTAATATGCGATTATATCTACCTGCGTTGCATAACATTTTGAATTGTTTTTTCTACAGGATAAAGATCGATGAAGATAGAGAATTAAATGATGACAATTATAACATTACTATACATTTAGTCTTGTGGTGAATATAGTTAGAATGTTATTATTACTATGTTAATTTATTTATTAAATCAAAATATGTATATCAAAACAGTTGCTAAAACAATTCGCTTTACAAGGAATTCCTTGAAACATTTTTGAAACGTATGCATATTGTCTCTCGTTTTTCACGAAATCTTATCATTTTTTTTATCTCTTTCCATGCATCATCGATTCTAAATGCGTTAACTCTTTATTTCGAAAAAAAAAAGAGAAAAAAGGGAGAAATCTCAAATCTCTCTTTAATTCTCTGTCCGCTGCTCCGTGCTCTCTTCGGGTTTTCTGGCCCCCGCTGTACTTATTATCTCCGCACGTGCAGTGCTGTGCATGTGCAACGAGCGATACCTACATGCCGGCTCTTCCTCTCCTTTCTCTCGCCCTCCCACTCGGTCTGGTTCGCCGAGCGTATTGATTGAGGTGAATGCACGACGCCGGCGTCGGCGTCGTCGTCGACGTCTCCTAGTCCGCGGATGCGCGGGAATGGAAATGCATACTGCCAGGATAGTCGGTCGTGGTGGCTATTCGCAACAGCTCTCATTCGAAAAGAAGAAAAAGAGAGAGAGAGAGAGAGAGAGTAACAAAGGGAGAAGAGAGCGGAGACGAAAGAGGGAGAGAAACAGGCACGAGGCACCGGTGGAGGAGGCATTATATACTCTTGCTGGATCTTCGTTCAACGTCAGTATCTTGCCCGAATTCGTGGCACTGACATCGCAAACGCTAAACACCGCAATACTCGCAGCTGCAGCCAAGAACGTGATTATCCGAGCCGTGGAAGATATAAGAATTTCGCAGAAAGAGAAATCCGTTCATTTAAATTCGCATTTTGCATTCGTGTTCTGCCTGCATTTTTCGAAAAAGGAGTGATTGCCATCAGGGAGGAGAGCCGATCGCTTCGAGGTTGCCAAGAGACACCTCTTTTTTTTCCTGACTGATTAAGATCCAGTCCCGGGGGATTATCATGGCCACTTACGCAACTTACAGGCATGTCGAGCTTGACAATGTTGGATATGGGAAGAAAAGGTAATGATGAGAATTGTGTATATATGTGTACGGGTATGCGTATGGGGAGAGAGAGAACGAGAGCATATTGCGCTGCGGACTTTTCAGAGGCGACACTTTCGTAACATTACGCATTAAACGTTTTTATTTTTTTTTAACATGGATGTTAAAATTTATCTTTGCGATTAATTTTTTTAAATCTATACCTATTATTCGTGAAAGAAAGAAATGTGAGAGGAATCAATCGATCGATAGTTTGCTGTAACTTTCGAATTAGAAAATACATATACCAACAAATAATCGATCACTAAAGTAAATTACGCTTGTTTTTGTCTGTATATTTGTGTAAAATATATCGTTATATTAAAAAATAATAATAATGACGAGGTGATACTAGTTTTTTAAATGGTCACTTAGTTTCTAATATTTAGCTATTAAAGAGTCTATTTAATACATATATGAAATCTGTTATATAAAAATCACTATTTGTTCTCTATAATTTTTTTGTTTTATTGTGATATATCTTTTGATAATCTTAAATATTTTTTTTTTAATAGACCCATGTTTACTACTAGAATTTCATAGTTTGAAATGTATAATTCAGAAAATATTCTTATTTAGCAAAGAAAGTTGAATTATTTCTAATTGTATTTAATGATATGTTCGGATGCTGGTCAGTGCATCTACTTTATCGCATCGATCCAACAGACAGTGCTATTGGAACAGGAAGATATTTCTCGTTGCATTTAAGTTACTCGAAATTACTGCGCTCATTTTAATGCGCTTTCGCGGAACTTGTATGACGTCATTCGATAAAACGTGCAATTATGAATGTTTTATTTTTCGGGTTTTAGCGAATTTCCTTGCTTCGTATTGATTTTGAATATCGGAGGAAATTAGCTTCCTCGAAAGACTTATAAATTTGAAGAACAAATTTTTCATTCAAAGATTTAATTCTTATAATATATTAATTAGAATGGTTAAATTTTATTTATTTAAATTTTATTCCACCAAAGATGTGTATTTGTAATTTGTGTGTGTGTGTGTGTGTGTATATATATATATAATATGCCATCCAAATTTTATTATAATAGTCGAGGAAATTGCAATCATAATAAAAGTTTTTAAAACTGCGCATGTCGAAATGGTAATAAAAATTTCTTAACGCGTGCTTAGTTTTTTCTTTCTTTCTCCCTTGGTTACGATTTGGTTAAAATTTAGAGCCCGAAATTTTTTTATTCATTGCAAGAGATATTATAGAATGAATATCACCAATCGTGGTTAAGATATAGGTGTTCGTTTCCGAATGCGAAGTAAGAGGAAGGCATAAATGGGCTAGGAGTGAGAGCGCATTTAAACCGATTATTTATAAGCTCATGCAAAAATATAAAAAATATAGTGAAACTTGCGGTTGTTCCATTAATTATGACAACAAGTTTAATCGATTTACATTCAGCCGATAGTTTTTCCAGAGATACAAGTAAAATGTTGCGCTCTAATAACGGTTTATATAGATGTTGTTGTAGATATGCAGCTAGATATGGTCAATAAAATATTTTCTTTTATGAATAATAAGACATCTATGGGATGCGTTGTAAATAACATAAAATATGGTCAGCAAATCATATAAAATTTATGGAAGTCTCCGTAATCTTTCTGTCAATCAACATTTATTGAGTACAAGATAAAATCGCAGAAATAAGTTTAATCATCATATTAATTATAGAAACAGATATTGAAATTGTTTTATGGAAATAAGTTAATCATATTTAATCGTTAATTTATGATCGCCCTTATTTTGGTATTTTCTATGTAATAAATTATCAAGATATCTTTCTCAGGAAACGCTATTTCCTTCTAAAATGTACTGATAGCAAAAATAACATGCGGTTGCAGATAAGCAGAAAGATCATATTGTTTCTAGATTTCTTATTCTACAACTTTTCAATAATAGAAGAACATACAAGTCTCTTTAGATATATTTTATCAGTTTTATTATTTAATATTATTCTAAAAATCTTTTTTATCTTCTTTATTTTATAATATTTTAATTTTTTTATATATTTTTTATTTTCTCTCAAAAAAATATATGAAAGTTCCTCTCCGATAAGCTTGGGGTTGTAAAGCAAAATAAGAGACTCGTATTTCTTTATTTTTTTCGGATGTTTAAGAATTTAAATAGAATTTATTTTTTATAAGCACAAAAATTAAAGAATGTTTAACGCTGAATTTATTCATATATAAAAATATTATTTTCCGTATTTTTGAGAAATGAACATTATACGGAGGCGTTATATGAGAGTATAGTATCCATTTTATATTACTATTTTGTTTCATATATTTTTATTTTTTTCCTTAATTTAAAAATTATCTACTAATAATTTTTAGAGATAAGATAAATCTTTTTTTTTATTACAAAGTAATGCTTTGGAGTTATGATAATTTCGTGTAATTAAAACCTTGCAATTAAAACGTCATAGCTAACAACATCATATCGAATATGCAACATTTTTTTCGTCAAGGCTCGAGAAACTTTGTAATTGAATTTAATATTTCATTTATAAGAATTATATGTTTTGGCTGAGATATAATACATAATTAATTAGATTCCCCGATACTAATTGATGAGAGCAATTTTTTGTGGATGTGGAATGATTATAACGTGTCATGTCGACGTACTATAATTCAATCTTTGCGAAAAAAATCTGCGCGAATATAAAGGACTTGCTGACCGAAAGATTTATGCAATTGATCTTTATTAGAATCGTGATCGATATCCTCGGGTAATCAACGTGTTAGTTCGCGCGCAAGCGCGAGTTATTGTATGGATATCATTGCTCCGTGTTTATAATCGGATATGGATTGTTACGTAGATATAATTGCAATGATTTTTCATGTCCATACTTGATGAAATTTTCTATCTGAGTTTTCTAAAAAGGGGGTAAAAAGTAGGTAAAAAGAGCATTAACTGTCTGACCATGATGACGGTCATCTTACGGGTTTCTGTCCTCATTTATGTTATGCTTGGCGGAATCCAAGTACCGTAGAACCACTTGCTGTTTTGTATTCACTTCGCAATGAAAAATTACAGATGTTGCAGAATTCGTCTCGCGCGTCATATTAATAATGACTTCGTGCCGAATGCTTGAATTAATCGCGGCTTTCTTGTTGAAGTACGAGATCAGCTAAAAAGACTTTGCACTGAGAATTAATTAATGATTTAATGTATTCTAAATGAGTTTTCATGCAGGTTATTATATTGTCATTTAAGAGTCATTTATTCTTCGTGCACAGACTAGATAACATATAGTTTTATTGCGAACTAATTGATTCGAATTATTTACTCGAATTAATTTATATATTGAATTTTGATGATAAGAAATTCGAATTATTGCATTCTGTATTAATAACTATTTTACAGAAATTGATATTTATTACGATATATATAAAATATATGTATGAAAAGCCGAGAGAGAAAGAGAATATGCATAAAGTGAACATTCTTCTGCATATATCTGTGTTTGATTCAATCTGGCAATACTTATTACGAACATGTGATATCGTCTCAATCGGACGATTAAGACTGATATTTAGCTTATCGGCTTTAATAAGCATATTGGTATATCTTCTTCTGCCGTCGAGATACTTCCGTTATAACGCTTTTTCTATAGAAGCTTGATATAGTGGCGACTTTGTCTTCGGATGATAAACGGACCGATCCCTGGCGCGACTGGTTTCTTTGTAATCTGCTCGACATATGCGAAATACTTGAAAAAATTATTAACTGTAGCTAGACGTTCTGACATATAATACAAAAACCACGAATAAGAATATATTTCCAAGATAAAAAAAAAAATCTCTCATTGATTCTTGAGTTTTTGAATGGCATCATTTTGAATTTAAGTCCCTGATTTAGAATTTTTGTTTTGTGAAGAATATGGCAGTTTGAACAAAACAGAGTCTTTCACATGTAATTATCAATCAGTGATTAGGGTATTTGACGAATTCTTCTTGAAAGATAATAATAAGCTGCGTTGATCGTCACCACATATTTATCTGTCGCATTCTCTATTTTATATCCACCTTATATCCATATCATACATAACAACGCGATTCTTTGCTAATAAATTTTTTATGATTTGACGATTGCGTTTTTAATTATTCTTGGCTCTCTGTGGGTTCGTGCGTTCTCAATAATATTATATTATTTTTATATCATTATTAATTTATTAATACATAATATCTTAAATTTAATATATTTTTAACAATATTATGACATTTATTTGTATTTTATTTTCTTTATTCATATATGGAACGATAAATTATTTTTTATGTTGTAGCAAAAGATTACAATATTATGTACAGTTTATCCAGATGGACTTCCAGATAGAAGTTAACTGGAAAATGAATGATTATTATTACTATTCTAAATTTGGTTTTTCTTTCTTAAAGTTCATGCTTATCGTTTTAAATCGATTCATTTTATTCCGCGTACCATCTCTCTACCTATTCTTTCTTTTGCACTAAATTATGTCGTGACAGGTCGATGTCAAATATAAGCGATATCGTACCTGATGGTACGACCTCATCGCCTTGATATTCGCCGAAATACTAGGCCCCGTGCCATCCGGCGAACTCCTGCGAGATTAATCGATTTTGTTATGATGCTATAAACAAAATTGTGACATTCTGATCTATTTTTTGGCAATATTTTAATTCTTTGATTCTTTTAACATGATACTTGTCGCAATATATCTGACAAAGAGAAATATTTTATTTCATAATCTTTTCAATTTTATTTTATCAATAAAATTATTAAATAACTTTTTTACAATTTTGAGTGTTATGTTTTATAGGTAATTTTATAAAATTTAGTATAATTAAAAATTTACAATGATTCTGTTGGTTCTGTGTGTGAATAAACATTAACATTAATATTGAAAATATAATTATAGTTTTATTAGACTTAAATATGTTCAATAAAGATACATTTTGCATTAATGAAGCAGCAATATAATAAAGAAAAGTTTCGTAAAATCTAACCGCTTATTAACATTTCCATTAACTTCTAATATGTAATCCAGATGTAATAATGTAGAAATGTCGATTCATCATCATGATGGTGCAACGCATGATACACAACATCGCAAAATAAAAGTTATATGATTAATTAAATGTAAAAGTCATTTCCTAGATCGAGAATTAACGGTTTCTTATTATTATTTATTAACCTGAGATAAGTAGAGCGGTATGATTTTTTTTTTTTATAATTACTCAGCACTTATATATTATACATTTTTTTATACATTACCGAAAATAATGCACCAATAAATATATATTTTTCTATCTTAAAAAATTTAAGTAACATTTGTTTGCAGAATAATAATTACAAAGTTATTCTCTTCAGACGACAGTTAGAATAATGATGTCTTTTTCTTTTAATAATATAGTTTATTAATTAATTCAAAGCTTTTGTGTGTGTGTTATTAATTTTATAAGAGAGCGATTTATTTCGAAGCAAGCTATTTCTCGAGTAATTAAAGAATCGAGAATGCATAATTCCCTTATTAATGAAAATTGCGATTCTAATTGAACCACTCCCCATCAACTTCTTTTTTACGAGATAGCCAGAAAGTGGAAGAAAGGGGAGAAGAAGCGTTAGCGTTTCACATTCCTAATTACTAGGTTTGTTCCAATCTTCTCTACTTGATTTTTATTTCCTTTTTTTTTGTGTTTATAAGCACGCGACAATGCACGCGCGTGCCACACGCACTGTACTTTGTTAAGTGGAAATTAGGACAGATATACATTCATAATTTATATCGCTTACGGTCTCCGACTGCTAATTTGTTGGCATATTAGTTTGCTGATGGAATTAAAAATATCGTTCTGATTTGATTCGATTTCTCCTATGCTGATTTCACTATTGTCAGCATTTGTGTGTCGTTAATTTTTTTCCTTGAAGGAAAAACGACACTTGCGACATTATCTGAAAATATCGATTAATGTATACATTTATAAATGTATCTGTCTATAACCAAATCTTTTTAGAGTTCTTGCCTTATTGGTTGGATATCAAAGAACTGGTAGATATTAACAGAATTTATCTAAACCTTTTTGAGAATATTATTTTTGAATGCGTACAAATTTTGCTTTTAAATTTTAATCTTGATCTCGAATTCTTAATCTTGTATTCTTAGATTTTTCTGCTAACTGTATTGTTTTTATTGTTCCAGGGTGTTGAAGCCGCCTGGCGGTGGTAGCAGCGACATTTTCGGCGCAGAGGAGACGAGTCCGCGCCGTGTCAAGACCCACAATCAGTCCCAGCTGGGCTCGGCGTTTTTCGGCAACGCCAACGATAACACGCATGCCATCCTGTCACCGCGGTCTAATAAGCCCGGTAATGATTCATACAATCGTCTGTTTGGTCCTCCCGATGCCCCACCCACTCCAAACGCAAAAAATCACAAGGGCAACAATAATTTCTTCAACGGGGGATCGTCAATTTCGACGCTATCGTCGAGCACCAAGAGCATAAACAGCAACAACTCATTGCCAAATATTGCTAATGGCTTTGCTAGCAACGGCAATAATTCGTTCAACGATGTCACAGGTAAGAGTCAAGCACGAACGGAGAAGTAGTGGCGAATTGTCCCGGGATGGACAGAAGTGATATATCTGTTAAGTTGATGCAAAAGGTATGTTATATTTCTCAACAACTGAAATAACATACAGGGAGTTACTGATAAAAACAATATCTTCTAAATAAAAAATAATTAACTCTCTCTTTGTTGTTCTACAATGTATCAAGAAAAATATGTCAGTTCCAACATTTTTGTTGGAAAAAATATCTCCAAAATACGCTGTTGAAGTTAAAATCGATTCCTTGCGGAATACCCTATAGTTTCAAAGTAATTTTTATTAAAATAATTATTATTTTTATTAATCGATATGCTTACACTATCGATTTCAATACACTTTGTCCATATAGAAAAAAAAGACTTTTTAGAAATATGATTGAAATATATATACACATAAATAAGATTCAAGCAAAATTGTCACGTCATCTTTGCTTATGAATCAGAAATCAATAACTTTATTGATATCTCCCTCTTTCTCTCTCTCTCTTAATAGAAAAACAACAAACCTTTTGCATTAACCTAATACTTTTTCTCAATAAAATCATATTACATTATTATTGGTATTTAAATAACAATTTGATAAAATTACAAGTTAAATAACATTTATAAAATTAAAGATTAATTATTACATATTACATTTAAAAGAATGATAATTCGTGATACACGCTTATTTATTTTTCTTTTTTGCTAACTATAATTTATGATATTTTGTATGAATTTTTCACTTTCGAATATTAAAAGAAACGAAATATCCTTCTTTTTTAAGTATGTTGTGTCAGTATGGAGATAAAGGTAATTAATTATCAATGGAAAATATTAATCCGCCCCGGGATTTTCTAAGCTGTTCTCGCATTCGTGATCAGACGCTCTTTTTTTATAAAACGTGTCCGAATATTAAGGCCAATGATTTTGATCTAAGTTGAAATATGTGTGTCGTAGGCTTTTCTCGTAAAACTTGTTCTTTGTATTGAATATTACGTTCTTATCACGACGAAAAATATATTTTTTTGCTACAATTACAAACATCTAATCTCTCTGTAACAATTTACATTTACATTTGTTAAAATTATGTCGGCAATTTTTACATCTTAATAACAATTTTTCTATTTTTGGCATTGGTAAAAAAAAACATTGCTATAGTGTGTATCGGAATTTGTTTTATAAAATATATATTTTTTATTTATAAAATCTTATGCCTGCAAGACCAATCGCAAAGATCCTTTAGTTGAACGCGAAACGGGTTCATCAAACTATTGGTCTTTGATCTATTAATGTAACTAAAGAATTTTTACATGAACTTTATTGTACGATCTTTATATTATTGTCTAGCTTTTTAATATATGCCGTTTTCCTTGAATTATTTGCAAGCAGCTTTTAGGAGAAAGAAACGATTTCGTAAGTGTGTAACATCGACATTCAATTAGATGACACGCAACACCATCACATTTTCTTCTTTGATCATAATTAGATGCGAAGTCACTCGAAAATAATTTCTCGTAATATGATGAAAATAATAGAAGCTTTTTTTTCCCTCGTCGAGAATTGCGCGGAAATCAATAAAATTATCATTATCGTAAAAGAAATGTGTGATTTAAACACGGTGGTAATTTTTACAGAGAATTTTCATCATTAGAAAACTTTTTCGACATTATTATTATTCTAGAGCCTGTCCCAAAAATAAAAACACATATTTTGAGTTAGACATACTACATTATTTATATTAGGCCTTAAGTTCGTATCGTATATATTCTGCTTTAAATAATATTATATCTCGCTTTGCATTAAATTATTATTTATATTATATTTATTACTACGATTTACTCACAGTACAATGAACTGTATAGTAAACGACATTGTTGCAAAGTATAGTAAGAAGAAAAATATATGTTATATACATATATTGAATATAATATAATAATTAATTACTCTGTCGATGTATACGCGTACAATCTTGTTTCTATAAATGAATTTGGCAAATTAAGAAGGCACATTGTGTGTGTGGATTGTAAATTCGTCATTGAACAAAAAATTTTGAGAAGTAATTTTGCAAAGGAGATAAAGTATTTAATGTCGTTTGCGAGACGTCGTTCACAAATTTTTGCACTGCGGGCGACATGCACCATCAGAACCAATCACAATTTTCTTTATTCATAACAATTTTCGGCTTGTTTAACACAGACACGCACGATCAAAAAAAGTTTTTTTATAATAATGATAACAAATAATAATATAATAATGATAAAATCAGATACGACATATCATTATTCAAAAGATCATTGACGACATAACATTATCAGCCGAAATAAAAATATCATTCTAAAATTCTTTTTCTGTGTATATAATTCGTATATAATATGCAATTCTTCTCATAACACTATCATTATTTTTATTTAGTTTTCGTATTTTGTTACTATAAATATTTATTTCTTTCTTTTTGACAATTTCTTTTCATAACACAGACGTTTCTATTTTGCTTTTAATTTAATTTTTATCGTACGGACGAATCTAAGAATCTAAGATAATTAAAATATATTTTGTTTTTGTGTGTGTATATGTGTATATTGAGATAAAAATATATAAAATTATCTAAACTATATAAAAATTAAAAATAAAATATAAAATATAAACTATATAAAAATTTAAAATGAAATAAATATTTAAAAATATTTGTTTCTAACGTAGAATTATTATGAGATTTATGCAAATTTTTAGTACGTAATATCTGCGATTCGTCTGTACGATTTACAGCATATAAACTATATAAAAATTTAAAATAAAATAAATATTTAAAAATATTTGTTTCTAACGTAGAATTATTATGAGATTTATGCAAATTTTTAGTACGTAATATCTGCGATTCGTCTGTACGATTTACCGCGTAGTAACACAAGTTGTTTGGGTTACTATTATGGATTTGCGATGGTGTTACGATGCATGGGGTGAAATGGCTCTGGTCGCTTTGTATGTACGCACGTGGCGATGAAAATGGCTATTGACATGGTGTGCAAACGGCATGGGTCCGCTCTGCACTCCCGTCGCCGCATCCCTCGATAGGAGGATTGCCGACGCGCAACCCGGTCACCGGAGATGGAATTGAGGTGACGCCTGTGAGGTGCAATCCACGAAAATGTAGAGGTAATGTTCTCTAATTATCCGATATTCTCTTGAATCCTTTATCTTCTTTTTAGAAAGTGCCTTCCTGATCCTTTTCTCAACGAAACGACGCAAAATAAAAATAATATTTTCAGCATTAATGGCCAAATAACAAGATGTATTTTGTATTCTAAGATATTTAATCGATAAAAGAGTGTTGCTTCAGCAATGCATATATAAATTTTATAGTAAATCATAAGTTAAGTCGTTCGCGTTAAATATGATAATTCTACATATGATTTTTTAATTAATATTAACAATTAAAGTTTACTGAAATTCGAAGTTATGCGTATTAGAATTTCAGAAGAATTCGTCGATGCATTTTTTCACTTATTCGATAGTTTTGAAGTACATGTCATAAATGGTATTGTGAAAATCTATTGAAGTCTATACGCTGGGTGTGGCAAATTTTTCCAGCTAAGATTAAAAATTGCTTCCTACGTTGTCTTTATGTCTACGACATGAGCGTTGTCATGAAGCAGAATCATCTTCCTCGTTTCTTTTCCTGTATACGGCCTCTTACTCTGCAACTCATTAAATTAATGAGTAGTTGCTTATAGCGATATCAGTTGTGACTGTTCCGTCAAGCTGTATAACAGAATATAGGATTCCTTTCATATCGCATCAAATGCACAAGAATTTTTTTGGTTTGAATATTTGATTTTGCTGGTGAAATTGCTAATTATTTGGAGATCACTCATAACTTCTGTCGTTTGGGTTTGTCATAGCGGATCTATTTTTCTGTATTAATTTAATACAAAAAAAAAATCTTTCTTTGAATCTTGATAACAAAAACATAGCTATATCGTAGCGTTTTTCTTTGATATCGACACTAAGAACATGCAGAATTCATTTGCCTTTTCTTTGTATTTTTTCCATTTGTTTTAAACGAAAAGTAACAGCTTCCCGAGTCGCTCCAAGTTGTTCTGCGAGCTCCTTTTGTGTTTGCGTTTGATTTTCATCAAATAATGCATATTGTTGTCTTTTTGTATCTTATTTCAGGTGTTAATTTAATTTGCAAGCGATACATGTTAATTCTGTTTGCTATTTAATAGATTTACGATTGTTTGAATTATGTGCTTAATTGCTTGCAAGATTAAAGCTACTTCTATCCATTTCCCTCAAAATGAACTCTTAAGTAATGTCATTATATTTAAAAAAATAAATCAAGGAATGACATTCGAAGATGTATTAGTTGCGAGTTTAAACATATCTTTTAGTGTTGAATTATAAGTAATAATATACGAATTTGAAGATAGCATGTAATAAAGTGTACGTAATAAAAATATTTCTGTAATTTAAATTAAATTTGAAATTTGAAATTAAAGTATATAATATGAAAAACTGAACAATATAAATTTCTCAAGATTCAACTTTAAAATATCTAAATTTACATATGATAAAATACGCGTATGTGTGTATATTTAGGTCTGAATTGATTTAAGAATGATTATTTTATTTTTCAGTATTGAATGTGTGTGTGTGATTTATTTGTGCATGATTTATCGTTATTAGATATCCGTTTTTGGCAAGTAAGGTTTTAAGGTTCGTTTGAAACTTAAGAGAATATGACTTATTTATAACAGGCTCAAAAATTTTACTTATAGCTGACAATGAAAATTATTATAATTTGCTTTCAACAGTTCTAACACAATCTATCGATCGTGGGATATTAGAAGATCGAATAATTTGAATTTTAGGATTGGCAATCGGATTTTATTCCCAGCAATTCGACTAACGAAAGCAATCCTTTTCGCAGATGGCAATCCGGTAACTGGAACTGGCTATACATCTGAGACGCAGAAAAACGGACCAGCCATGCAGAACGGAATTGCTAGCTCGAATTCCAGCAGTAGTGGCGAAAAGTCGAATGATACGTCGCCAGCGGCAGCAAAGCCGCGTACCCGCATCCCACCTGGTGGCTATTCATCTGGACTCTGGTAAAGGGCAAAGTCATCATCAGTCGCTTTCTTTCCTTTCCCGAGATATGTTCTGATTAATTCTTTCAGCTCTGTTACTCTTAACTCATTAAAGCCCACTATCTCTTATAAGATCTTCAAATTGTTGTCCGTAAAACGTCCCGAAATAGAAGTCTATTTATATATCGTATATCTCTATCGCAATGGGTATACTTTTCTATATTTTTTCTAGAATTCAAAAAAAGAGAGAATTGTAAGACAGACGAAATAAATAGTGGGTTTTAGTAGATTAATATCATTTTGCTTTGTACTATTCAAAGAAATGCATAGAGAGGAGCAATAATAACATTTATAGGCCTTTTGATTTTTGGATAACTATTTCCGCCAATAATCATTTTTGAATTAATTAATTCAGACCTAAATACATGGTGATATTCAGTTACTCCAGTATTCAAACGAAGATATTCAATATAACATGATATTCGCAGTTAGGAAGGTCGAGAGGATTAATATATATATATATATATGAGGACGGACGAAAATATTATAATAATAATAAAATCATCAATTCTCCGAATATCTGCAACGCAGAAACGAGCAAAATTGCATTCTTTCAACGACGCAATTCGATCAACAATCTTTATCATATTTAATATTGGTTTTTTAAAATCCTAGATTTCAGTCATGTGTAACGCGCGAATTCTATATTTTAAAAAAGATAAATTATAAAATATTTAACTGGCAATTAATAATAGTTTTTAAGTATTTAAGTGGAATTTTTATAATCTTTGTTGCCGTAAACGAAATAACATGTAGAAAACATGAGCATAAACCGGTCCTGGGTTTCTCTCGAGCGTGAATTACCGGTCCTTCAATTAGCAACTCTAGTACAAGTTTTATCGCGTAACTGTATAGAGGTAGTTAAAGCGATCATTGCGCGTAAAGTATATTTTTTCATGACTGAAATGTTGCGTCGGTCGATGAACGATTCGCGAGCTGTAAATCATTTTGCTAGAAAGTGCGATTTCCTCATTAACAGCTTATACATAATGAGTCATTATAAATAAATAGAAAAGAATAAATTGTTCATGATAAGAGAAGTCAAAACAAAAACATTTATTTTAAAATTAAAGCATAAAGCAAGAAAATATTGTGCAAATTATTTCAATTATTTGCTTTATGAGGCATCAATCATATTTATCAAAGTGCTTATTTGTTTTATTTATATTTTCTATTCGACTCGAAATCTCATCTTATCATATTGGAATACGACTGCCGTATCAGGTATCGCAGTATTTTGCTCGTTTCCAATGTTGCATATTGCGTCTCAATCATATAAAATTTTAGAGAATCACATGTCTAATATACGAGAATTCGCTGTCACCTCGAAATGAAGGGCAATGATATTCACATATACATATACAGAACAGTACCAAGATCGTAGAATTATAATATCGCGATTATCACAATATAGTACGGCATTGATTAGGAGTGAGGAAAGGAAAAGATCGTTGTACCATTCAAAATTTCTTTTGCCAAATATCGAGAAAAGATATATTGAAATGTGTCTACATGTAAAAATAATTAGCAAGATAATGAACATTTTGAATGGAGTATTATATTGATTAGTGGCAATGTTACAAAAAATAAATTCCGTAAATAAATCAGAGGAATGGATAAAAAACAGCAATGTTTTATGATGGAATTAGGATTGTGGAAACGTCGGAGTTATACATTAGAAGTAGGCATGTGTTATTTCCAAAAATAAAGCTATACTATGTATAACCCATTAAATAAATCAAGTGCTTTTTTATCTTCGTGCCTTCTTAATCAACTATTTATTAACATCGAAAAGAACGCGGTCAACGACGAGATATCACCTCATTTTTTTCTCGCGAATTATCCTCGCGATTTTTGATACCGATTCTGTTTAATAATATAAATATACTTTTAACTGTGTCACACAATCAGAAATTTCTCGAAAATCAAAAAGGGAATATCGTCATCGTATAATTTATATGAAGCGCGCGCGTCTAGAGACGATACTTTGTTTCCCACTCTTACATCATGTATTTTATAATAATATTTTATAATATATTTTCGTCATCACTTCGCTTTTTTTACGAGTGTAGCGGATGTAGTACATGAATTGAATGTATTTATTTTACAGCAAAGAGTCGTGCACGTTTAGTTCTTTTTTCTATGCAAATTTTTACGCAGTGGTTTGATGTGAGTAAAATTAAATTATAACACACACAATATATATATTTGTCATAAAAGTAGCCTTTTTATACTCTGACAATGATGAATAAAATTTTATAAGCAAATTAGTTTGCTTTGTTTCTCCCTGGAACAGTGTAATGTCTATTTTTCTATATTATTTCCGAATTAATAACTAATTCGTTTAAGGATACTTACAATTCATAAATCTAGCTACAAAAAATAATTATTTATTTTATTCTTTCAATAATCATGAATAAATATGATTTATTATACGATTTATATTACGATTATATCATTAAAACGATTATATGAGTATTTATTCAATATATATGCATAATAATGTATTTGGCATATTAAAGAGCAGTAATAAAATTCCTCATTTGGGCACTGTTGGCTTTACAAAGAGCAATGAAAATGTGTTTGTCATTAGTTTCTTGTTCTATCTTGCTGGCTATCTCATGCGCTTTCTTTGTGATAATTGACGGTATACCTGCTAGTCGAGCGGCATTGAATCCATAAGATTTCGGACAAGCTCCTTCATTAAGCTTGTATAAGAACGTTACCGTCTCTTGTGATACGTTTTCTTCTTCGCCCATTTCTACCATGCATGCCTAAAAAAATTCAAATTTATTGAAGAACATTTTATAAAATTTCTAAGAATACATTGAGATAAATAAATAGGTATAATAAAATAACAATACATAAATCAATATATATACTTTTGAATAAAAGATTTATATTATTGTAACTATAAGATTTTCTCACCATATGGGCTAATGTAACCTCTTTATTGGTTTTGTAATCCTCAACTAAAGAATGATAATGAGTCGAGAATAATGTGCGACACTTTAACTTAGTCAACGCATCGACAACCGAAGCCGCTATTGCCGTGCCGTCATAGGTTGACGTGCCACGTCCTAAAATAAGGATATATTTTTTATCAATTTAAGGAAAAGTTTCTATCAGTTTCATATTTAAAGAGAGAAGTGAATAAAACGATAATCATCGAGTTATAGTAAAATTATCCTTACCCAATTCGTCGAGAAGAACCAACGAATAGGGCGTAGCATGTTGTAACATCGTGGCAGTTTCGTTCAATTCAACCAAGAATGTGCTCTGACCAGTCAGAATATCATCATTAGCACCCAAACGTGTGAAAATACGATCCACCAATGTTATGCAACATGAACTAGCTGGAACGTAGCTGCCCTATTAATGCAAGAAAATTAAATTCACATTTTATAACTCATAATTCTAATTTCATTCGCGCATTTTTCTCGTGGAACTTACTATTTGCGCCATGATCGTGATTAAGCCGACTTGACGCATGAGAGTTGACTTGCCTCCCATGTTTGGTCCTGTCAGAATCATAAAGGAGGCAGCATCATCACATGCCAATAAGGTGTCATTGGGAATAAAGTTATCAGATACAATACAAGGATGTTTTCCATCTTTTATCTTGATGAAGATCTGTAAGAATTATGTTCACTGCCATATTCTTTCGATGAATTAATAATATTAATAAGCAATATTTAACGATTCCATTACCTCACCATCTAATCCGTCATGAATCTCCGGTATACACATATCGCCGTTTCGAGCGTAATCCACGAGAGAAATGAGCACGTCCATGGTTGCCACTTTGTAAATGGCTGCATGCCACATATCATACTTTTCACTAAACTGCGCAAATATTCTCCTGTTAAGATCCTTCAGTACTTTATCTCTATGTTCTTCTGTATTTATCTGTCTTGCTAAAAGTTCCTGCAATGATCAAAATTAATTGTGTATAATGTTAAAGATATTTTACCACAAAAAAACAAAAATTCTAATTTTTAAATTGAAAATATAAATTATTATTATTTTTACCTTTGCCTCGGCAGTATAATAACGTTTAAAACCTTTTCTTTGTGACTGCAGTTCATACCCGGGACCAACTTTCTTAACTCGCGACTCAGGAATCTCGATTTGATAACGTTTCTTATCTGTTCCAAAAAATGTTATGTTTGCATCAAAGTGCCGTTTTTGTTTTTCTAAATATTTGTCTATATCTTTTTTGTTCTTCGCAAGTTCATCCAAGACTAAATCATATTCGACATCTACTCCTTTTTTAGGAACAATGCAACCTTGCTTTTTGGCTTCTTCATGATCAAATGCGGTCTGAAATAGATACATTAAGTAAAAAAGAAATAAATAATCAGAGGATTAATAAAAATAAAAGCGTTACCTTAAAGTAATCTAATATTTCCCTTAAATGAGGGAAATCACCATCTGGTTCATATTGAGTACAGTGGCTTATCAGGTTACTTTTAAAATCTGTAAAGAACAACCATGGAATCACCATATATAAAATTTGCTAAAATAAAATAAGTATAAAAGTAAAATAAGCATACCATTAAACAGCTCAATAAATTTCAAAACTTCTTCGAATTTAGCGAGTGTCGTGGTAAACTCTACAATTATCCTCTTCGAATACGTTGGGCCTTCGAACATTATTGCTCTGCCATCAGGATGATTTTTCATTCTAGCTGCATTTCCCTGAGCATGTATTCTGTTAAAACAAAAGATATATATATAAAGTGTCTCATATAAATTGTTACAAAACGTTTTTTAAATAACTATTAAAAATGGAAACAAATCTTTTTGTAGTGTTTTAAGAGATTTACTGAGACTTTTCATATTATATAAGACATATGTTGCTGAACTCTCAGCAGAAACAAGCATTCTGTTTTCTTAATGAAAATTGTTTTTTCTTATACAAATCCACTTTTCTTTGCCGTTCTGTATGTAAAAGTATTGAGATAAAATCATCAAAAATTGTATATTTTATGAGATATTTTATACATACACACAAATATGCGCGCGCACCAACACAAAGGTTCCGGCACTTTTTGTACATCCTATATTGATATATATAAATTTCCAAAATTTGTTATTCTAAGTAAAATTTTTTGTAACTTACTTGCTTAATAATCTTTCAAGATCCGGTAGAGTTGACAAAATTGCGCGAGCTGATTGTATCATGTCTATTCGATCTACCAATTCCTGCACAGCTTCCTGGCGTTTCATTATAATGTCTTTACGACAAGATGGCCTACAGATCCATTCACGCAACAATCTACAAAAAATATATATTTTGTCAGTATATAGAATAAAGATAAAAAAATAGCACATAAGGCTTACCTTTTTCCAAATGCAGTACAACAACGATCCAAAGTACTATTGAGCGAATTCTCTCCAAAAAGTTTTAAATTTTTTATTGTAACAGCATCTATCACCATGGTATTTGTGTAATTGAGACCTGCGCGATTGTTTGCAGCTGAGAAATCCGGTGGAATGTAAGTATTAAAGCAACTTTGTGCCAATAGTTGCTGTTCGAGCAGAAACTCTTTTAATAAGTACACACATCCTCCTAATGCATGTACTGCTAATTCTTTATTATTGGCTGGTGTTAAACCCAAGCTATCTCCTGATATATAATAATGAGATAATCAAATATTATTATGTATAACAATATAAAATATGTAAAAATTTTCCAATTATGATTATGATATATAAACACCTTCATTAAGATATGATTTTAAACCTTCAGGCCATGCAAAGTTGGAATCTTTCTCCTTCTTGAAATAATCGCCTTCATGAAGATTCTTAAAAAAAAAAAAAAAAAAAAAATCCGAAAAATTAAATTTTTGGAAAAATATACTAATATATTACATTTATATACTAATAATAAGCATTATCTGTTATCCATACTAACTTTTAATGTAGTTGTAGCGGACCAGAATTGTGCTTCGCGTTGTAGCGATTCTTTTAGCGCTGCTGGTAGAGTGTTACTTATAAGCTGCAAAGTTTTTCGCGATAGATTACCACGTTCGTATATTACCTGGAAATAGAAGTCACCACTTGTAACAATATGATTAACAATAATTTAATTTGTGATTGTGTATCATACATGCACCGGTGGATGATGAGCCAGCAGAGTCAACAATCTGGAATTGCAATAGTCATCGTCAAATTGACTGAGATTAAATTCGCCTATTGTTGTGTCTATAAAGCATATTCCGAAGGAGCTGGTTGTCTGACCAGGATCGCATCTTTCTACTAAAGATAACAGATAATTGGAGTTTGGTGTAGATGCTTCCACATCTAATGGAGTATACACTCTAGTGCCTCTTGTACTGATTTGACAAATTTCTCGCTTTACAACTTTATCGAATTTTGTTGACTTAGTCACTGCAAAAGAAAAAAAAAAGTCATAAATATCCATCATTTATATGAGATGTTTTATATAATTCACGCTCACTAATTACGTAGCGCTATGTCTTAATAAAAAACAAGTTGGAAAGTCCTAAATTATTTCTTTTTTAAAAACAAATAATAATTTTTAAATAACATCCATTTTTAATTGTTGCCATTCTTTAGAAAAGCATACACGAAATATATAGCCTTGATGCACAAAGAGAGAGAAAGAGGTAATCTTATATTTTTAATAACTCTTCTTTGTGTAAACATCGCAAAAAAAAAGTGGACTTTTTGACTCAATTTTCATTTAATAACGCTATGTAATTAGTGAACACAATATATGAAAAACAGCCTGCATAATTATAATTTAAATACATATGCTTCTACATGTAACAAAATGTATTGTTTTGTGATATTTCATACTTTTGCTGCAGCGCGCTGCCATCATCTCTGGGTTTTCTGTTTGCTCGACTCGTGCAACTTTGTAACCTCTTTCTATGAGGCTTGCCGAATAACGACCATAGCCGATTTCGGGAAATCCAGAGTGTGCGAATTCACCCTTTAATAATAAGTAATAAGTCACAAAATGGATTCATCAAGAGTAACTTTGACATTCCTAATAAGTAGACTTACTCGCATATATGTGAGGCTAAGCTCATTAACACTGATAACTGCATCCATGTGATACAACTCGTAGAATTTGCCGACTTTGAAGAAAAGTACACAATTAAAATGCTTACTTTTTAACTCCCACCACTGCCTCATTGCCTAAACAAATTTTAAGATGATTGTCAATGTTGATACATGGTAAATAGCACTTAATGATAAGATCCTTACAGGAGTTTGATTGTTTAAGAAATCAATTGGTACATAAAGTGTTCTAGGATCATAATTTGGATCCTTTAATGTTCTCCTCTGTATATCCCTTATTTTGTCTGGCTGCAGAAAATCTAATTTCAAGTGAGGCCAAACATGTGCAGCAGCAAGTCCATTATTCACTGTCTGACTTTGAATTTGTGCAGACTGTTTCAATTCTTTTTTATCCTAAATTATCAAATACATCGTCAAATATAAGTTATAACACAATCACAAATATACATTAAGCATAGGAATAAAAATTAAATGTAAAAACATCAGTTTTGCAATTAATTATATACTCACTGCTTTATTAGATGAATAATTTGCTTGTTCTGGCTTGGATTTAACACTGGATCTCTTTCTTTTTTTCTTAAAAAAGAAAAAAAGAAAATATAAGAATATTAAATATAATTTTTCTTGTAAGTATTAATATTTAGAGACGGTTGAAATATATTATTCTTACTTTTGGTGTATCTTCTTCCGTTTCTGTTGAAGATTCATGCTCTATGTCTTTTTCCGAAATTGACTCAGATTCTTCACATTTGGAATCTATAATGGCAATTATATGTATATATGTCTGTTTTGAATACTTTCTTAATTTAAGATAATTATTGATTCAAGACTATTATTATTTATGTAATTTACAAACCTGGCTTGAATTCATTTTCAGTGTCTTCATCAGAATCATCATCAGGAATAATTAGGCGTCTTCTTTTAATTTTTATAGGCTCATTTTCTTCCTTATCATCATTCTTTTTATGTAATCTTTTTCTATCATTAGTATTTTGATTTTCTTTTTCATTATTTCCAATAAGCTCTGTGAATATAACCATAATATAATATATTTATAATAATCACAAGAATTATAACAGTAATAACTTATAAATTATATACAGCTTATGCAACTATGGCTTGTAATATAAAATCTTAATAAATATTGAAGATAAATCAAAAACTATGACTGCAATCACATGTAAGTGAATTTTATACCTAAATTACATGAATTGCTATTTTACATGCATAATGCTAGAAAAAATAACATACAAAGCGATAATTTATTTTATCTCGATACACACATGTTAAACACGTGTATTTCATAATGCATTTTCCGAAATCTTCTTCGAGACAAACCTTTTTTCCTTTGTTCTGTGTTGGGTGTTCGCGGATTTTCTACTTGCTCTTTCTTCGCCTCCGGCTTTTTGACATTTTTTGGAGACGTGAAATAATTAAGTATCGTATTTACTTTCGGCATTGTTTCGTTTCGATACAAACAACATAAAAAAATAGATTTCAAAAGATATCATTCATATAACTTATAATCAGTAAACTCTGTTTCAACAACTTTGATGTGCCTTGGACATTAGGCATTCGCGGCGCGGTTCGGAACCATTGTTGCGAATTGGAGGGACAAATCTCGCGCATGCGCAAACAGCGCAAACTCTAGCAGACGCTGTTCCGTCTATGCATTTGATATATCTATGCACGAATACCACGAAGAAAGAAAGAATGTATGGGGGGCGCATCTCTAGGTTAGCTCTATGTTTAACGCTGTTCATGAAAAATAGGTTGTTAGTGGCAAAAATTTCTCATATTCATGTCAGACAAATTAAACGGAGAAAAAAACAAATACTGCACATTGCTAAATATTGAGACTGATTGAGCATCATTGTTTGCGAAAAAAAAAGAGAGTGTATGTGTGTGTGTGTGTGTGTGTGTGTGTGTATGTGTACTTGTTTTAGTGTATGTGTACTTGTTTTATGATACTGATTGAAAGTATTGATTTTGTAAAACATCTCTTTCATATTTCTCTTTATACAAAAAAGAATAAATAAATAATTTGTAATAAGAAGCATGGAAGCAGAACCATTGGAATTGGAAGATGGTGAAATCGTTGATGATGAGGTCAGTCATTGAAAAATTCTCACTTCATAAAAATCTAACCTATTATATAAGCTCACTATACAATAGATGAATCTTATTTTCTTAATTAACGATTTAAGTTTAATTGCACGAAATATAATTTCTTTATCTATTTTTCTGTTATAATCTAATTTTATTATATAGTTTAGTCATATATATTGCAATGCAGAATGTCATCATATCAAGTTATAAGAATGGATTTTTTAATAATTATTTTCTTTTTTTCTATAGCCGAACGATGTCTTTGGAACATATAATGTTTTGCAAAGACCTTATGTAGCACCTGTCACAGATGTATGTACAAACATACGATACAATGATGAATCTGATAATTCTGCAGATTCTGAAAGTGATTCTGACTCAGATTCTACACATACTAACATTAAAAGACCTAAACTTAAATTAAAAAAGCATAACTTGTCAAAGGATAGCACAAATAAAAATGATAGATATAAAGTATGGTGTAAACAAATGCAGGAAGAATCTTTGACTGAGGACTTAATATCATTTGGTGTTACAAAGAAATTGTATCAAGAACGTAGCGTTGAAAGTTATAACTTTACTTTGCGATATGCACATAATGGCAGAGAATCTTGTAATAATAATAGTTCTGGTGATGAAGAAGATATTGAACGGAGGTTAACTAACAAGAGAACAAATTCAGACAGACGTAATGTAAAACTTAGGTTAGGAAAAAGGAAATACTCCATGGATTCTGACAATCAGAAAGGTTCTGTTAGAATAGTAGCAGACTTATCTACAACTGTGGATTCAACAGATGCTGACATTGCTGTAGATATAACAACTAAACTCAGTGAGAAAAAAGATCTTCTCATAAGTAAGTATCTATATATTAATGCTTCTATATTGTTATTCTTTTTGTGGTATATTTACTTTTATTACATTCAATTTTAATGACAAAGTGTTTAACAAATTTGGATTTCGATTTTTGTTTAAGAAAACTTACAAAATACCAATTGGTTTTAAATAATAAATAATTGAGAAAATGGATTTTTGCCAAGTTAAGTTTCAGGAATTCATACAGATAATACAAATTTTATTCTTCTTTAAATCCAAGAAGATTTTTATTATTAATTTTGTTTTTATTTGATATTATAAAGATACTGTAATATCAAAGATTTAAAAATTGTAAGAAATATTGTTTTTACTTTTTATATATAAACATTAGAAATTGTATTTATAATATTTATGTATTTTATAGGACGAGTGGTGGATATAATTGGTAAAGAGAAAGCTATTGATTTTTTCCAAAAAACCAAAAAAATTGAAGAGAGTGGAGGAATGTTAATAATGAATGGATCTCGTAGACGAACTGCTGGTGGAGTATATTTTTGGTTAGTAAAAAATGACAAACATATTCCTCAAGAAAAAATAAGAGAGATATTTTACTATGATCAAAAAGAAACCAGCGAGCAAAGGAAAAAAGCTGGTATCAACGACAGAAGACAAAAAGCACAGGAACTAATGAAAAGCTTTGAAAGTAAATAACATTTTATACAATATTTGATGTTTTATTAAATGAATTAAAAGTAAATATTAAAATATTAAATTGTATAGAAAAAGTAAAATAATATATTTTTCTTTTTGAAATTATAGGTAAATCCGAAAAAGATTTACCAACTTTATTAACAAGGGCCGAACTCTGTACGAGACAAATTGCAGAGCAAGCAAGATTACGACGTGGTGAAGGCATGGATAGAATGCCATTAGATTCCGATCGTACAGTGTCAAATCCACCACCTAGTCCTGTAACGGATGATCCAGATCATTCTGAACATCCATTGACACAGAGACATGTCCAAGATTATGCTGATGATTTTCTTGATATTGGAGCAGATATAGATTATATGGAAGTACTTTAAAACTATAGATTTTATATTTGCACATACCCTGACAGTGTAACTTGTACAAATAAATAATTATGATCAGTTGCACATGAAAAAATAGTACATAGGTGTAATATAATTTATATAAAATTGTGTATTTATCATGTTTATATAAATGAGAAAGAGAGAGAAATAGAGACTAAAAATAGTAGTCAAAAACTTTGCTTTTTTAAAAATTATTTTTATGTTTTATATATAATAATTAATACACTATATAATCAATTTTTTTAATACTTGATATACCTATATAATAATTATTTTTTTACATATGTGTTAATACATCTTTAACAAAGAAATAAGTGTAATTATGCTTATGTAAAATGTAATACCTACATTATTCAAATCCTTTAAAAAAATTCACATATAAAAAGATAAAAGATCCTGCAAGAAAGTATACGTACATAAAGAAATATCCAAATTCATATGAGCAGCAAAGTCTAAAACCAAAATGGATATGAAATCAATGCATTATATATAATTGTATAATATTAATTTATTATTGAACTTATATATAAGCGATTTAAGATTTTTTAAAATTTGTATAAAGCACATTTTATATAAATTACATTTTAAAAGGATTTACTATATTTTACACAAATTTCAAGTCGTATAAAATGAGTTTAGTACAAAAACTTCATGTAATTGGATCGTATTAAGACATATGTATTTCTATAAATTTATTGATTATTTCGATATTTTTTAATAATTGTTTGCAAATATTTATTTTAAATATTTTGTATTTTGTTGAGTAGTATAAAATATTAGAAAAAATAAGCAGTTGCTCGTAAGTTACAGATTTATTGAACCAGTAAATTATCATGAGTCTTTTTACAGATAGCAATATCTGATGATTAAATTGAATTAAAGATTAAAAATTAGAATTTGTCTAATAAGAACAAAAAAAGCTAAAATTTCTTTTTTTTTGATTGATCAAATTTCAATCTCAGTCTTGAATGCTTATTGTTAGTTTGTTAGTCTGATATGAGCTTTAGAAAAAAACAAGAATTTACTTCTCGTGTTGGGAACCCTGATACCAGAGCTTCTCATTGTAACCGCGCAGGGTCTCCAATATCACTTTGGAGTTCGTCCGATTCGATTGACCAATCAGGATAAAAGAAACAAAAATTTCATTATTCTGATTGGGTAATCAAACGCTTCTTTACTCCAAGGAGTTAATTTTGGAAAGCAACCTCCGGTGGATTTTTGGCAGATTGGTAGTAATGAATTTGAAAATGAGACGAATTTCATATACATGTTTCTGTTGGTCTTCGATCGGTCAAAACAATTTCTTTTGATTGAACATCTTATTCGAGCGACATAAAAGAAGTGAAGAGCTATTATTTCAAAGATATTTATTACGAAGAGATATTCAATGCAAAGAAGATAAAATTTTCATTGACAGTTGAATTCAGAATTACGTTGAAATGGTAAAAAGTTTCGTGATTCCTTTGGTCGCGGATGAGCTTTTGACGTCTCATGCCGGACAATATTTCGTTGAAGAGATTGTGCCTTTACGAATGATAACACAGTCTCTTGATGGTAATTGCAATATATAAATCTTATTTCCAATTCTACTGTTAAAATTACAGTTTCTCTCTTACAGTAATAATAAATAATTTCTAAGTCCTTTATAACAATAAATTGTCAGTAGAATATAGTGTGTTATTGCAATAATTTAATAATTTATAATGTTGAAATTGTGTTACAGCTACACGTTCAGCGTTGCAAGCAAATGGTGTGCATTTTATTTTGGATCATTTTGACACATTTTTCTCTATCATTGTTCATGGCAGTAAAGTAGAACTTGTGGTTTGCTTGCGTGGTTTTAATAGGATTCATAAAGGTAATTTTTCATAAAATCAAGATTGTGTATTATAAATAGAAGTGCTTTTTATTTTATAATAGATATACTTATGTAATTGATTAAAATAAATAAATCACTTGATATTAGAGTTTATTTATATAAGCATTATTTTTAGCTGTGGAAATACTTGTGGATGAATTGGAAAAAATATTTGATCATGGAAATGACATTACAGAGGAAGAGGAAAGAAAAACATTTTTGTGTATCAACAATATGCTGGCATATTTGTTCTCATGGTTTGTTGGTCATATAGATGAACGTGTTATGAAAAATAGAAATGTTAATATTGGAAAGGTATAAGAGCTGTTTGTATTATTATGTATGTTTGTATTATTATGATGTTATAAAATTATACAATTAAAGATTAATTTATCATTTTTCAGCCTAAAAAAGGTGCAAAGTCTGATATTGAAGAGGAATGGGAACAATCTAAGCAGAAAGTTTTGGAACTCGTGTATCGATGGCTGCAAATACCATTGTATAAGATTTGGAGACCACCGATTGTTGAAAATTCATTTGTTATGTAAGTTACACAATTAATTCCAAAACTACAATATACATATATAT